GCTGACCATCATGGGTTCAGAAGGAGGAAGTCGTGCCTGTCAAATCTCCTCTGTTTTCTTGATGAAGCAACTAAGAGGATCAACAAGGGAGAGGAAGTTGAAGTCTGCTACTTAGACCTCCAGAAAGCGTTCGACTCCGTCAATCATAGGCTACTGCTGACGAAGTTGAAGGCTTTCGGGCTGTCTCCGGGACTGCTAGAATGGATACGCAGCTGCTTAACAAGCCGGAGGTTTGTTGTGAGGGTAGAAAATAGCACATCAATTCAGGGACGAGTGCTTAATGGAGTGCCACAGGGCTCTGTCCTAGGTCCGCTGCTTTTTCTGCTCTACATCAACGACCTCAGCACCAACCTAGAAAACCGCTGCTACAAGTTTGCAGACGAAGTAAAAATCGTCGGGGAGTCCGCGACAGAGTCGGTTCAGAGATCTTGACAAAGTGTACGCGTGATCAGTTAAATGGGATCTGCCTCTGAATACTCTGAAGTGTCAGCAGCTAGTCAAAACTGGAGGCACGCAAGGTGGCAGGACACTGGGACCCCCAGACCAGTCCCAACAGATACCCGCGGTAACCGTAGCCAAATACCTGGCTGTCCTTGTTAGTGCGGACTTCAAGCCTGGACTCCAGTGCCAAGAGGCAGCAAACCGGGCGTCCAGAGCCTTGCACCAACTAAGACGTGCGGTAAGCTCCAGGAAACCCGAAGTCTTACTCCCTCTTTACAAGACGTATATGCTCCCGCACTTCGAATACTGCGTCGAGACTTGGGGCCCGTTTCTGATCTAGGACATGAAAACGCTAGAAACAGTGCAGCGTCGCTTCACCATATGGTTTGCGGGTTTAAGACATCTATCTTACTAGAGGCGTCTCGAAGCGTTCGACCTTTTCTCATTAAGCAGGCGTAGGCGGCGCAGGGACTTGATCAAAGCGTACAAGATCCTGAGGGGTTTTATGGATGTATTAGATGAAGCGCTGCTCAAGCTCAGTAAAACAAGGAACCTGAGAGCGCACACACTGAAACTGGTGGAAGATAGAGTGAGGACTCGGCTTAGAGCGTCCTCGTTCGCAACGAGAGTTGTGAATGATTAGAATAGACTGCCGGATGAAGTCATCGCTGCCAAATCGACAGCAGACTTCAAATGCAGACTGGACATGGTATGGACCAGGATGTTAGAGGAGGGCGGGGACTGAGTGGAACAGTTTGGATACAGCTGACTCGGGACCGCTATCCATTTAATACTAAACCTCTACCATCCATGTCTTCCCCTTATCT